CCCCCCCCCACCATGAATGATTCCACTGTGTCTGGATGCCACAGACTAACACGACAAGCCTCTTTCCGTTTGTCCTTCCCCAAAATCTTTCATGTTACCCTCACATTTTTTCCCCGTCTCTCTGTCACAAAGCCGTTCCTGTTCGCGGCCCCTAACAGAAAAGCCAGCTCCTCTGCTTTATTTTTATAAACTTTAGCCACAATAAATCTGTCGGGTTTTTTAAGAGGGAGATCAACAGTTACAATGGTTGTCAGCGCTCCATCAAGGAAATAAGCGCAAACTCTGCCCGTCAACTGGAAACGACTCGATTTTCATAGGGATTGTAAAGCCAACAGTGAACCTTAGAAATGCCATTCCTGGTCCTAATTATATCCTAGATGAACAGTTTGTTTTGTTTAATATATTTACAGTATAAATGTAACTTTCTTATGTGTGTAATCAACAACATCCTGGAGAAATTCTGTTTTTTCCAATCAATTTCCTTTCCGGAATCATGTTTTTCTTGTAAATTATGGTTGTTTTTAAGAAGACTTCAGTGTATTCAGAGTAACATTGCAGAATATTTATCTAACAGGTTTAAGACAAAACAGCTCTTATCATACTGTTATATAATGTTTTTAACATGGTGACTTTATCACAATGTTTTTTTCCCAGAATCCTCCTGGTTCTTGCACGTTGGCCAGCCACCCTTCCTGACATGTTTAGGAAAAGAGTCTTAGTTCTGTCATCATTAGAGCCAAATGGGCCAAGTCACGGTGCATCGCTCTCAAACTTTTTCAGATGAGCCTCTCATTGGCATGTTAAACCAGGCAATAAATGACACCCCCCTAGCTTTTTTGCTGGTGGGGGCTTGTCAGAGTACATTTCCAGAAATCACACCATGAGACAGATCCATGTAAAAGTGCAGACAGTGAGAGAGTAGGATGTAGGCCATACACCTCCACAAAGCTCAGACACGTAGCCAGTAATGTCATGCATCATCAGCTAGGGGGAGCTCCACAGCAAATTGCTAGATGTTCATCGTGTTCTTTGCTGCTATTTGATGGGGGGGGGGGGGTGATATCAGGATGAAGAAGGCTGGTAGGATGAACTTTTGAGGAACGCCAACTTTACATTATAGGTCTGAGTCTGGATTCCTTGGAAGTGGCAGTAGGAAGAGTGATGTCCAAACTATCATCCATTATCAACTATCCTGATATGTGGGACGTTTGACAAGCTTGACTGAGCTCTGCAGACATTTGAGGCCCATTGCCATTCGCCCCCCCCCCCCCCCCCCATCAGAACCCATCAGCATACCATTGCACCTCACCTAAATTATACAGCTGTCATGTTTCTACCTCTCCATCGCTGTAATGTTATTTATTTGTTTGTTTATGTTATTTATCTGGTGGGGGGGTATTCTATTGGGGGTAATTTATACTTATAATGTAACTGGACAGTCTCCGGGGGATCAGTAAAGTTTTATCTTGCCTCGTGGTCATCTGAATTTACTGCCCACTCCCCAAGAAAGAAACTCCACACGAAAAGCCTAACCCCCTCCCCCACCCGCTTATATCATCTTCTCAACTCATCCTTTGTTTGCTTAATCAGCACTTCCTTCTGAATTCGTTTCCATGAACTACAACCTGTCGAAAACCAAGACATATTTCCACATCAGTCACTGGAGGCCTGACATTTTGAGATAAAACTGTAAATACGACCAAAAGATGTAAAAGGTTTTTCTCTGTTTTTGTGTGAATAAATTACAGCCATTTCTCATTAGCTGTAGGGGAACTGCAGGCCATAAATTCATTTTTATTGGAAGATCCCAGGCCATATTTTCTGGGTCCCCATTGGATAGATGACATGATACCTACAAAAATGTATTTGTGTCCAGCTGAAGTCAGTTTTTAATAGTTATGGGCTCACAGGCTTGCAGTTTCCTGTTTTTTTGTTTTGTTTTATTAGGATGGTTAATGGTTGAGTCTGTTGGGAATGGGTTGCATCCAGAACTCAGTTTAGAAGCTGACCCACAAATTTCACTCACAGAGGGCTCACTGGTAGGATAAAAGGAATGATTTAGCAGTCCGAGGCTTTGGTGTGACTGTACTCACTCCCGGAACATGCTATGCTAATTGTGGTAGCTATCCAGCTTGAGAACTACTCAAGACAGTGAACCTTCTATAGAAATCAGTGTGTTCCAACTGCAGCCATTGGATGGGCTAACTGAGAGTTGTAGCTCTTGTAGAAGGAATAGCTCCCCATCAAACTGGAACTGATAGGTAATAGCTTGACAGCTTGTGGGAGTTTTAGTTACACAAAAATGTTCTCAGGGCAGAATGAGAAATGGTTCAGAGTAATAGCCAATTAGATCTTGGTAAGATGTCATATCAACCAATCAAATATCTTGGTCCTGCCTCCTCTAGTTGCTTGGACTCACCTCCTCTATAATCTGATTGGTTATCTCTCTGAACCAATCATTTTTCGTTCTGTCCACAGAACATTATTGTGTAAATAAAATTCTCATGAGCAGCTTGACGCTCCTGACCTGTGAATGAATCAGCTTCATGTTTCCAAGGGTGGAGTCACCCAGGTCAGTGGCTCCACAGAGGTGCAGTGCTGTGTGGGAGCTGCTGAGAATGGAGAATATCATCCAACACCATCCATCTGTGAGGGTCTTACTCTACACGAAATCTTAGTGGTCTCAGAGCGTTAAATCCGTTATAATCAGCGTGGTTTTGGTGGTTCATTAGTGTTCACTGCCATTGTCATTAGTGACAAGTGAAAAAGTAAATAGTGTATGGTCAGCATAAATAGTGTATGGTCAGCATAAATAGTGTATGGTCAGCATAAATAGAAGCAGTACATGCAGGGTGAGATTTCAGGAGCAGACGGAACACAAATCATTCCTGTTCTGGGAATTTTAGGGCACCCCAGAGATGACCTCTGCAGGTGAAGCATGCTGGAGCCCCCCACCCCCTTTACATCTCCATTAGGCAGGTCTGCTGCCCGCGCTGCTTTGGGGACATGAGGAACCGCAATTTACACGCCTTCCTTAATGCTTATGGAAGAGTCCAGTCAGCCTGCGGACACCTGACGCGATCTGGCACATGGGGGCCATTGTTCTGAATGTCTGTCATCTGTGATCTCAGGAATATGAGCAGATGAATGCAAAGGAGAGGCAGCTTGGGGGATGTGGCAGGGCTGGT